TCTACTTCTATTTGTACATTCGTAGTGGCGTTTGAATTCGATTATCTTATACTATTACTTGGGGCCAGCAATGTACAAGACAATGTTTTTATCCTCCTAGACAAGTTTGATAACAATTAACCGAACCCAGAGGGATGGAAGGCTTGGTTGGTCCGGAAGATGTACGACCAAGGATTTGATCTTGGGACCGCGCGCGTGGTAAGCATGCCACGTGCCACTACACCACTGCCACCCTCTTGATTCACGGATGCGGTTCCAGAAACATTACAAGAGCAAGAAGAGCATCAGCTTCGTCTGGACACTGAGAGATCCTGAAGCAAGAAAGTAAAAGCTGCACGACAGCGTGGAAACGACTTTCTTCGTTTCGCTAACTCCCCTTTTATAGATGTGGCCAGTGACCAGTTGTGTTTGTGCTAGTACGGCAGAACGCCATCGTCGAAACCGGAACATTTCGAGGGAGGGATGCGAACACAACAACTGACCAAAGCCACACCGACAATCCTATGAAACACATCTAACAGATGCCAGCTGTGGAAAGAATCGCCATCAAACTCACCTCCTCCCCTGAAAATCTACCTACCAAGTTTTTATCTCGTTGTCTTGTGACTGCTGCAGTTCATACCACCAACCTTAAAACGGGTTTCTTATTGGAGACGATCAGAAGAGAGGGAAATCGTTCTTTCGATTCAGCTCTCTTTTTCCATCGGTATCACACCCTCCACCACGAGCAATTTAGCAATTTTGCGCGGTTCATATTCTAAAGTGTTTAGCATCTCACCGTTCTTACCACAACTAGAACGATGAAGGTAAGAACACTCAATATGTAGATAAAAGCGGTCTGTGTTATTGTTAACTGTCAATGGCGAGGAGGAATTGAAACTACATAGTAATCACGTTGTTTTTTGCAGTTTTTTTTTGTTGACATAGAGAATGTAGAAATGGGGAAAAATTTGTACATACTGAGCAAGTGATTCCGAAGCCTTTCCGTAAAGTCCGCATACAGCCGTTTGCATTTCCGAGTAAACCCGACCCACGAAATCCAACTTAGGCTTACTACTGATGAGAGTGAGCTTCAATGCTCCCATTATGGTGAAAGAAACTTGAACGTGTGCAGCGGTTGTTTTCTACGAAAGTACTCCTGGTATTTGGGAGGGAATTTGCATCTCCACGAGGCCTGAGCCCAGCATTTGGATGTGGCTCTTGAAGTCAGAGAGAGGGTGCAAAGGTAATGTGTAGAACCATGGTATTCGAGATGTCTGCGGAAAGAGGCTCCATTTGCAGAATGCGTCATCACAGGGTAGCGATGCTTGATCAAGTACTTATACATCTGGTAACCCTTGCGCAAATCGAGTAAAATCGCGTTTTCGATGACTCTTCAGTAGAACCCTGCGAGCCCCTTACGCTGCGATAAGGCGAGCTTGACAAGCAAATGTCAACTACGCACACCTCATTCGCATTAAAAGATCGAACGCCAACGATAAGAACGAAGATAGAAGAAAAGGAAACTTACGTAGTGGAGAGACAGGCGGATTCCCTAAGAGTGCGGACTAACATGCCATTTGCATAGCGCGATTGGCACAAAACGCCTACCGACTCTCCAAAGTTCGCCGCAGTCACAACGATGAGAGTTGCATCAATGCTGAGATGAACGGGCAAAGAAGGGATCTCATTTTTAGCTTTTCCGGACCGCCTTTCATGGTTTCCCCTTCACGTACTCCACTTACCACCTACCCTTATTTCCAATCAATTACCTACTCATCTAAAATTTGCCCTGCGCTAAGTTCGAGCGCTACTTTAACAATTAACTTATTTCGAAAAGCCTTCAGTATTGTAAAGTTACGTGGAAGCGTACCATTGGGAATACGCCATAAAGCTGTTTACTGTCACAGTTGTCCAAACAACATATGCAAGAATGGATAAAACATCACTGTGGCAGAGTATTTCGTATGGAGAATGTTGTGAGCATAGGCCCATTGTAGGAGCTGTCTTTTGTGAGAGCGGGTTTGGATGGAAGCTGAGAAATAGGGGAGCAATGTTTGGGGTTGCTCTATTCCGTCCTTCTGCTACATGAAGGACATTTCTGAACCGTCCAATGATAGAAATGCTTCATCCAGTTAACATTCGCAATTCCCTGCAAAATTGAGATCACATCTCCTGGAGACAATTTAATGGATTTGAAAGGCAGTGATTGGGGTAAGAACCTTCTCTGAGA